CCTCATAAAATTCCTGTATTGCTGCATTTGCCTTCCTCCTAGCAATTCGAGCCTCTTTTGTCGCCTCGAGGTGCCTTTTTTCACAGAGTAAAATTCGCCTGGAGTCTTGCGTATCCGCAAAACTTTTGGCTGCTAGTCCAATCACTATGCCCATCGTGTTGAGTATTTTTAAAATTGACAGATAGCCATCATTATATATTGCAGTGGCTAAATAAGATGCTATCTCAACCGTTTTTGCCCCAGAATATATATGTTTGGGAGCAAAGTGCCAAAGTAGGCCGTTAAAACTCTCATTATTCTGTGTGTTTCCACCTAAACATCGTTCTAATAAATTGTCTTGAGATAAATCAGTATAAATGGGTTTGATAACTTGCTGTACAAGATCACGTCTTCACTTTCCAGTAATTTTTTACCAGATGTGCTGGCGAAACTTACGCCCTGCTCTGCAGTGTAACGATTTCCGCCAAATTTTCTTTTCCTGGTTCTATTTCCAGTGGCTTTTAAATGTTGCTTGTCACTTTTCTTAGCCATTTTCTGTCCCTTCGGTCACTTCTGTTCTGCCCGAAGGTCTACGACGAACTGAATCATTCACCTTTGTTTATATTTCCCGTAATTCAAATATACTACAATTAGACGCTTGGAGGGGTCCTTTTAGCACAGAAGGGGATGATTGAGGTAGCCGAGTCGTAGAAAACTCTGGGAGTAACGATTTTACATTACAAAAGAATCGGCCTTCGCTGCAAGCGTCGAGCGCTCCGACTGTATACCTGCGCGCCCGGTCGCGCCACTACATTTCATAGCTCATAGCGTTGCTAATTTTTCAAATTCAGCCGTAATGCTTTAGGAATATGTTCTTAAGTTATTGAACTTTAAGAAAAAGCAAAAAAAAAAAAAAATCGATTTTTTTGACCCGTCACACTAGGGAGACCCCTTAAAAAGATACTTATTCCCATTTGTAGGGGCCATTTTTAAGCGACTTTTAAAATTACAAATTACTGGATCAAGGAACCTGTAGTTCTTTGTACATGTTTGTTCAGATTTCAAGAAAGCACAGAATCAATTCAAAATCTTTCTTTTTTCTACTTTTTTAAGTCCCCGAAATTTCAAGGAATATGAAAAAAAATCGATAGTCAAATTTCAGTGATAATTAAATAAGAAAAACATTTTTTTAGTTATCGACTTTTTTATTTCGTTCTGGTACCTGCCAGAGTCAAACTCACCATAATTAAAAATCTTCGTGGCTTTTTTATTTCAGATTGACAGACCGGCCGGAATCACGGACACCATTTTGTAATACATATAAGCGATTGTATACTAAGGCATGCAGTGTCACCAATTAAAATTTTTTTCTCGACAAAAAGAATTATAAATGTTCATGAAATATGTATAAATATACTCTAAAACGCTGACTGCAAAAAGTGTTATAGTTTGTTTTTAAATACCATATATCGCAATGAAAACGAGCGTCTACACTAGAATACCCCACTAACCTTTTCGGTACGGACCAGTGTACAAGTGGTCCATAGACTGCTTCCTATGGCCGAAGAACTAGAATATGAGTTGTTTTGAATTGCTGTTCATATGATGTTTTTGTGTGTTAACAAATCTGCAATAAAAAAGTTAAATTTTACAAAATGATGAACATGAAGGCATACAAAATGCGATGTCTAGAAAAATGCCTACATACAGACTGTAAGTAGCAGGCAGGTAAACGGATTGACTCGTAAGTAGTGATGGGAAATCGAGCCGTTTGAGCCGAACCGAGCCTGATACGAAAAGCTCGAGCCGGTTCGAACCGTCAGGAACAACGTCGCGTTTTAGTGTGGCCGTATCGAAAGGGGGTACAGGACCATTAGACAGGCAAAATCGATGACCAAACCAGGCAAATCGAAAATCAACCAGTGAATGACCAAATGGTTAAATTTAGGGACGTCTGAGATTAATACTTGAATTTATTTATTTATAACAACAAAACAGCTGCTGAAATTGTAATTACATTTATTTTTCTTGAAATGTTTATAAAAATATTTTCTTGTTCTTATCGTAATTTTGAATAAATTATTTATAAAGTGCAAAACGTGTAAAAGCCCAGTAAATCACTGCTACATTTCTGAAATATGTTTAATAAGAATTTTACTTATTAATGTTTGCTTAATACACTAAACCAAAAATATGGGATATTTGAGGTGCAACTACACTCCATTTATAAAGATGTAATAATTTTGAATTTATAATGTATATTTCTTGCGTAATGGTCATTCACTGGTATGCCGTCAATTATTGGTATGTGTAGCCTACCCGTACATGTGTCCCTGTCCCTATTGTGGACATTTTCACGAGTAATTAGGAGCAATTAAATTGCAAATGAACACATTCATTCGTTCAAAAGTTAGGATGTATATAGTGTGTAAAAATGTTGTTTCGCGATAAACAGCATCTACCGCTTCCGCGAGGTCGTTACTCGACTGTGCCCTCGGTTATATTCAGTGCTATAACTTCCATAATAATTCGAATATCCTTATGAAATTTTTTTGTAAATGTTGACGAAGGATGAGGCTTCCAGAATCAATAATAAAGGAAATCGATTTTATGAAGCTTAAATAGTTCTGCACCTCCTTAAGGGGGTTATCCTGGTATAAACGAGCTAACAATGAATGAATTCTTGGAAATTTCCTATGAAGATATTAAATCAATCTCTTTGGAATTCTAAGGATATTTAATTGTACAATTGAACTGAATAACAAAATTTTATTTTCACGACAAAACACCTCCAAAAATATTCAACCAACTGACCCGGAAGTGCTTGTACGTATTCTTTAACATCTTTACAACATGAACATACATTTATAATTTTATTGTTTTAATAAATCATATTTTTTAGCATTTTTTACTCAAAAGAAGTTGCCGTTGTATTTACGAAAATGTCACTATTTTTGCAATTTTGCATTTGTTAGCTTCAAAATAGGTTCATATTTTTTTAGTTACATTCTCTGGCGTCGAACATCTTTTTTGCGCACGTGCTGCACATAAGTCCTCGTAACTATACTATTTATGGATTTGTCGTGAAAATAAAAATTTTTATTTTCAGCTTAATTGTACCATAAAGTATTCCCAAAGTTTCAAAGATACTGATGTAATATTTTTTCATCATAAATTCCCAAATATTCAATCATTTTTAGCTGCTTACGGGATTTTAAGGGGTAACATACCTTTGAGCTGTTAAATAAAAAGGAAAACTAAAAAATTTGGTTCTATATGCAATGTTATTACATTGTATTATACGTTATTTCCTTAACAGACGAAAATAACTGCCATTTAATTATAACCTGTTTTATCAAAATACCATCTGTCGCCTGTGGTACCAGATATCTCTCTGTTGGTTTCTATCTGTAACAAATTTTTTTAAATTTATATTAAAGTAGACAACGAGAACTAGTACTTATGGAAGCCGACATTGAAAATATCACTATTTTACAAAATGGCGGCTGTTTGAACTTAAACTTATAGTTTACAACAGAAATTTTCAACTTGTTTTGTTACTAAAAAGAGAAAATATGCACGAATCAAAAATTCGCTTCGTCAAGTACTAGGTGTTAGTATTATGAGTATTATCACAAAGTTTGATCTAAATGTGTTCAGTAGTCTTTTAAATATTTCTGGTACCGGTTTTGAAAACTGCGTTTCACGTATGTAAAACGCTTTTAATTGGCTGCCATTTTCTTCTGTTGATAGATATATGGCTCAATTTTTCCGAAATTACTAAGAAAATAACATATAATAAGATGTGTATGTTGAGTTTTTAATAAACAATAATTCTGCGTCAACACACTATTTTTTAATTTTCCTTCTTATTTAACAGCTCAAAGATATGTAACCCCGTAAAAGTTAATTTCAGCTGGATAATAGTAGCTTCTATCATCGATGAATCAAAATCATTGAGTTTGGTCAATCCTGATAACCAGTTGTATGCAAGTTTCGGACAAATTGCCAGCAAATTATGGGAAAATTTGTTTAAAAAACCATAGCTATCTGTATCGGCATGTGACTTGGGTTTTGCAGGCGAAGCCTGCTGACAAAATGGTAAAGCAAATTCGTAGCAAATTAGCAGCGAATCTTGCAACACAACCCAGGTTAACTAACCTAGGTCAATTTATAACCTAGACTATATTGTAAGACTTGCTGCTAATCTGCTGCCAATCTCCGTGCTAATTGTTGATAGCAGATCTTGCATCGAATTTGTAACAATGTCGAGTACGTAACATTACAACAGGTATTGGACAAAATTTGGAATTGCAGGTTTGGCTGACTGTGAAGTTACCTTTCGTTAAAACACTCGGACCTTCATCTATAATCATGTGTACACCAGTTTGTATTATAAAAAGTATGTTTTAACAATGCTTTGAAAATTCATATATTATTTTCAACGCCTTAAAGCTATCGTACATTATCTTATATATCGTGCACGAAGAGAAAACTATGTAAGGCTCCCACAAAAATTTCCGCAAAAATTTATCTATAAAAAATCTAGCGGCCGCTGGGAATATTTCGCGTTGGTTTGTGAGTCCCTGAAGAATAAAGTGAACTGCGAGTTTCAAATGTGCGTACTTAGCGTGTACAAAAAAATTTTGTTAATTTTCCCTCTTATTTAACAGCTCGAAGGCATGTTTACCCCTTAAAGGTTAACTTCAGCTAATAACGTCGCTTCCTGAACCGATCCGGGATCGTCCAAGCTCCGGAGGATCACGCAGAGATCGCGGGGATGATCCCCCTTCTGTCCAAGGGTGAATTCCATCGAACGTCCGCGGTCGAGTGTGACGTTGTCGGCGACGACGACGACGACGACGATGACAACAATGATCTCCGGCTCGTTCGCGGCTGGCCGGGCGCACGCGTGTCGGTTCGACGACGGGGCAGAGAGGGGTCGGACGGCGCAGAGCGTCGGCTCCGTCGAAACGGCAGAAAACGTAACGTGTTTTATCGATTTCGTCGGATCGGCCATGTTCGTGTCGAGCCAGCGGTCAGGCGCACTCGTGTCCTACCTCGAGAGACCGTGTCACCGATAGATTTTCCTCCGTCTACACCGTCGTCGATGTCGCAGGGCGTATAACCACGATGCGCTTGTAAAACCGCGACGCCCCGTGCTTTTTCCACCGCTCTGTACACCGGAGACAACACACCCCGACTGTATCGCATCGACACGGTTTACCCTGACTCTCTCCGCCGAGGAACACAGCCAGGAGAAGAAGAGCAAGCCCCCCCGTTTCAGTGCAAGCTGCCGACTAACGAACGACCGTGAGTAACATTTTCTTCGAGAAAGAAAACCCCCTTCGAAAGATCCTTCAAACATCACTATCTCTCGCCCCTCTTGCCCTGTACGCGATGATCTTGTTTTAGCCTTTTGTATTCTGAATGGTAACCACGGGGTTGGTCGAGATTCGTGAGTTCGTTTTGGTTTTCGTGGCGTCTGCGGAATTTCCGTTGGAACGGTTTCCTAAGCTTCTACGGTTTCCTAAGCTCTCTTAAGAGGACTGGATTCTCCGTTGTTCTGTCTTTGTCGGGGACCTGGGTTATCGTTTCACCTTGGCGATGACTAACTGACTGTCATTAATCGAGCGCTTTTAACAACGTTCACGGTCTTGACATTTAACGATCGCCGTTGTTATCTTTCGTCATCAATGGATTCGTGGATATCGTGATCTGTCCGTGTATTCATAAAAAAAAATACCGCTTATAGATATCGTGGAGCCTGTGAACAATCTGTATTCGAATCGTTTCACTGTCCTTTTGATCGTACATTTCGATACAATCTTGTATAACAGTTCGAAAGATCATTGGGGCCAAATTCATGTCCCCTCTCTACGATCTCATCGTTCGATTGTCTTTCACCTAACAGACTGTTAGCGTTCCGTTGCCTTTCTCCCCAGATAATTCTCGAGACAGTCGTTTGTTTGTCTGTTTTACGACATTTTTTAGTGTCTTGGAAAGTGAACTGTCTCCTCCCCCCATTTACCTTCGACTTCTTACGTTCATCCGTATGAAAACTAGTTGGCGGCACTTTTCGTGAACCGTTCAAAACGTCCCCTTCTCTGTGGCGGTTTATTCTTTTTTGCGGGTACCGTTTGAGCCGCCCTTTTCCGATTGTGCACCAATCAGTCGACCGGACTAATACTGTTAAAATGTTGTTCCTCCGAATTCCACCGACTTTTTCAGCTCTTTGTCGAACCGTTCCGTGAACCTATTTCCTCGAAACGTGTACATTTGCCGATCGATCCTTTCCCAGACATTCCCAACCAGTGAAATTTTCTGTTACTTAATTTCCCTCGATGTGCATGGTAAATTGCTTTGTCCCGATTACGGGGGATCGAACGTTCGGTTAAACGACTTCACTCCGTGAATAGACATTGATGTTGCCCGTTGGTCATCTTTTCACCGACCCAACCCCACTTTGTTGTCATTCTGTACCGAACCGCTGGCACGCTTTTCGACTGTCAATACTTTCGATGGTGATTAGTAGAAAACAGCAGGGGCTGTCTAACGAAACATGAATAGACACAGTTAAAGATTCTGCGTTCGACAACCATGTTCCAGGTGGCAGCTCCCGGCCCCATTGAATCGGCGAATTTAATCCTTCGTTTATCAATGCCGAAGCTTTTGTTCTATTTCCGTACTGGACGTCGTATCGAGTTTTATTCTCAAGTTGATTCCTATGGTCGACGATGCTCATTGCATCGGTGAGAATTTAATTCCTCGGTTGACGATTATCAACTGATTAGGTGTATCCTGTATCCATCACAGCTGTGTTCGAACATCTGGAATTTTATTTCAATTTAGACTTGTTGTAGGGAAGTAAGCCGTGTTTGTTAGTAATTGAAACATAGTTTCTCTGAATGCTGGTGGTGTATATTAATGATTTTTGTAGTGCCGTCTGGTAGCATTGAGTTGTGATCAGTGAGTTCGATCATATTATTCTTCACTGTGTTCAATTTCATTAGAAAGGTTCTAAAAATTCTGTTCACTATTGTTTGCAAAATAATTTGGTTTAGTTTCTATCTGGCATAAATCATAGTCTGCAAGTTTATAATTCCATTTGTTGTTTACCAATGAGTTTTCCTCGAATAATAATATCATCTTAATCGAAATATGTACGTACACGTTGAAATTAAAATGTGTGGTTACTGGTAACAAATATGATACCTTATCGAAGAAGGTATAATTCATCGTTTAACGGTTTTCACATTCCGTGACGCTTTTAACTAAAACAGTAAGCACTCCAGAAATTGACATGTTTAAAAATTATTGAATATTTTATTCCATCTATGCATCGGAATCTTACAATTTGAGCCTGCTTCGTAGTTTCTATCATCGATGAATCAAAATCATTGAGTTTGGTTTCTCTTTTTAACAATATCAATCATCCATCAATTTACTTTTCGCTAAAACACACGGACTTTCGTGTGTAATTATGTTTGTTTTTTATTTCATCTCCATTAATAGTTACATTTTGCCTACTTGACATTAGAAACTATTCATACATTTTTGTTAGACTCATACATTCTCATCCATTCCCTCCTATTTACGTACTTTCTCAGACCATTCATTCCCACACCTTTCTTCATATTACTATTATCATATGTATGCAAGGCCACGAGTAGATTACATATTAAAGTTTCAATTATCTGTAATCATGTGTACACGAGTTTCTATTATAAAAAATATGTTTGAACGGTGTTCCGAAGATTCATAAATTATTTTCAACGCCTTAAGTCTACCCTATATTATCTCGTATATCGTGCCCGAAGAGAAAATAGAAGAATAAAGTGAAACTACGAGATTCAAATGTGTATCAGTGTTAAGAGTAAGAAAATCGAAAAATTAATAAGAAAACACAAATGGATTAAATGTTGTGTAAGTGGAGTATCAACTGTAGAGATTAATAACGAGTGAGATTTAAGCAAGGGGGAATTAACACACGAATGTAAAATGACATTTGTTCCGTACGGGAAGGCGCCAAAAAGGGTCCATTCATTAGAAGGGCGTCGAGTGTTTCGAATAATGATCGTGCCGAAAACGTCCTTGACGATATCGAGGCCAGTCGATAGTCAAATGACCGTTATCGAAAAGAATGGGCGTAAGCGTTAAGATGAATTAGTTACGGCAGTAGGGAGCACTAAACGTAATTAATGTTTCGCGACAAGAGTCTTGTTACTCCTAATTTCCAACGAGATTGAAATTGTGAGCGCACATTGTTTTGCCACGAGGACGCTCGGAATTATTGCTTACATGCGTTTCACCAGTATTCGAAAGCAGCAATTGAATCGATTAGTCGACGGGTCTCGGTTACAAACTTAATTATCGGTTACGCTGGCCAGGCTTAATGCCACGATTAGCACATTTTAACTATCCACTGTAAAATGGTCTTCTGTCAGCACGAACATCGTTTAATGAACCAGGAATTTCACAAAAACTACAGGAGAAATTACAGTATGCGTTGTATGTCAAATATAGATCGTTATTTTTGAAGATAACCGGTACAATTAACACCAGAACTACCGTCATTAAATGTATGCTAAGTTAAGTCGTGTAATTTATTAATATGTGTAATATATAATACAATATAGCTTAATATAGTACAATATAAAGTGTATAAGAACTTAAAGGTCAACATACGCTCCGACAAAAGTATCTGTAGGATTTCAGTAATCGTAAAATAAAATATCTAAAATCCGTCATTTTAACGGCTTCGGTAGTTCTACTGTTAAAACATTTGACATTTCTCACAATTTCCACAACCATAATGCAAATTTAGTATATTTGTATGTAGAAGAGTGTCATAAAGGTAACTCGTATCTCGAGCCGTTAAAAGCAGGCATAATAGAGGCTACAAAGAAAGGACTGTTACGGTTAATATAGATGAAAAATAATTCCAAAATATTACTCAAATCTTTATGTTAATTTGTACGTTTTTTGATACTAATCATTTTGTATTTCGCTTATGTGTCTATTTTTATTGCGTTTTTGTTTATGTTTTTTTCTTTCGTATTTCATAAATGAACATCTTCCGTGATTGTATAATCTATTTGTTTTAATTAATTTTTCTTTGCAGACACGAAAGCTAAAATTCATTCTTTTTTCAATAAAAGTGTCATAATTCGAAAGCCTTAAGGATTTGGCATTAGAGTTAGTAAGAAAAAACCACTTACTAAAATTAATTTTAAGTATGTACTGTAAACGGGGTAAAAGAGGGATTAATGTGATTTTTTGAAGTTAGCGTTTCCTCTGAACTGATACGTTTTGAGTTGTACCGGTTTTCTCTCAAAGTAGCGACATCTCTACAGTTCTAATGAAAAACAGATGTGAGCAATAAATCAAATTATTATAATAATTTATTTATTCTACACGTTAATTGCTCCCTTTATGTCTTATGATTTTTTTGAAAAGACAGTAAATTTTTGGATTGTGTTATATGTATATTGAAAATCACAATAAGACTGTTATATATTATTCATTGCCGATATTACAATCAAAATAACCATTAATTTATATCTGTTTATGTTTCCCCTAAAAGCAATAGTTTAGTGTTCCATTAATTGTAAAAGAAAAAATAGATTTTTTAGTACAGACCGTTGACAATTTTTGTGGTTTCAATCGTTAAAGATGCAGTGAATGATCTATCTTCTTATTACAACTTTAATCAATACAAGCGCAATATATGGTGTATATCTTGTAACAATTCATTTGACATTGCATTATTTATCAAAGAACAATGTCTTTTACTGATTTGATCAATCCACTTTACTTACGTGTAACCTAACATAGTTTGGTTTTAATATACATATAAGAATGTTTGAGTTACGTTTCTGTATTTCAATTTTCTGCAAAAATGGACACAAACTACACATTATTTATATTAAAACTTTACAGAGTTTAGAGCGTGAATACACGTAATACATACAATTAGTTAGAAGTATATTTATCTGTTCACAGATGAAAAATGTTCAATATTCCATAAGCAAATATTTCAAGCATTCTTTTAATAAAAATAATGATTGCGTAAAAGGAACCATTTAAATATTAATAATTTTTAAATCGTATCTTAAAAGAATTGTGAACTCGTCAACGTATTCTAAAAATGCTTTGTCAACAAAATTTGTATAAAGGTACACTTGTTTGGGGGTAACTTATTTACTTTAGAAAAATATAGATAAATAAATAATTGATATACTTTTCTTGCTTTCTTTTTGTACTAAATTCGTGTTTATGCTCTCAGTCTTACAAATCACTCTGATATATAC